AGATGTTGAAGTCAGGGCTCTGCAAATGTTTGGGGTCTTTTCTTTGCTTAAATGAAGCTTATTTTAAAAGGAGATAAGGATTTCTTTGGGAAGGGGTGTTAATCAGTGAAATAGTCTTCACTTGGTGTAATTTTCTATAAAGAACCCTCACACCATTCTTTACTAAAGCTTTACACAAATTTAGTATGACAACCAATTTGGACTTTTAAGCAAGTATTGTACCTGCATTAATTTTTGGGAAGAGCATCTTTTTCATGTACCATCTTGTGTCTCTTGTTATTTCTACTCTGCATGACTAAGAGTGTGTTGTTGTGTAACTAGTATGAAAAAAAATTGTCATTGACATGTGTATTCCCTTCTCTTTCCATACTATCTTCACATTTATCACAAATAACGTTCCAGAAACAGTTTCCTCTAGAGTTGATATAACTTTAAAAGCATAAGTGTCTAAAATCAAACATGCTAAGTGCCCAAAGTAGGAAATTACAAGGCTAATTTCTGAGAGGCTGGGAATGTTTATTTCTGGGAATTAAAGGTTGGAGAGTTGTGATAGCTGCTGCTTATGTAAATTGTAAAGGTGTGATGAAGTGTCATTAGCACTTTTAAGCCTGGGAGAATTTCATGGCGGGAGGGAAATGGATAATTACAGTGAAGTATCCTTTCTAACTTCCTTTGTCTCCACTCCACTTTTTAGAAGTATCTATATTTCTTAGTTTAGTAGATTACTCAGCCTTTAGGATAATGTGTTTTATCCAGGACTGGAGCTTTAAATGAATGTCCTTCATCCTTTCACTTTCTGAGATGTTGCCTTGACTGACAGTCTTTGGTAATGAAATGAGAAGCTTTACCTATTCATAAATAGGTGCATAGCCTGTGTGTGCTATGTGAGATGGCAATTTCTGCTGCTGTGACCCATTCTCATGCTAGTAGAACTCTATTGCACTTCTTTCCAACAGGTAAAATAAAGTGCTAGGTAGAGGTGGGGACCAAAAGTGGAAACTGCAAAAATGAGACTATGCAGAAGTGTTCATTCTAGTTCATGATACGAAATATGTTACAGGGAAGAAAATGGACTAGGTTTCTGTCTTGGAAGCCTTAGCTTCTCCCTGCTGTGAACAGTCATATCAGTAACTTCTATCTCCTCCCTTTTATAACTTCCTTCATCTTTGTGGAGAAGGGATCAATTATTTTGTAGTATACTGAAAAAGAAAGCATTTGTTAGGCACTAAGTGCTACAGTGATGTACGCCTTCAGAGTTTAGCGCCTAGAGTTCTTCCAGTGAATTGTTGTATCAGGATCTTCTCCAAATCAAAATGTTTTCTGGGATTTTGGATTGATAGTGAACATTTCCCAGGCTTGTATAGCTGAATCTTCCTTTGAAATTGTTAATCTCTGTATCTTTACTTTCAAGTTTGTGAACAGAAGTGCTTTAGGACGTTTTAGATGCTCAGAGAGAACTCTTTCCTGGTGACGTATAAAGTAAGATTAGATCTCTTTTGAGCCCCAAATACTCTACAGTATTTTTTGAATGAGCAAAACTTTTTATTTTTTAAAACTCTAGGAAAATTAATTTTTGACTCCCTAAAGGGAAATTTTCCCTTTGCCCTGCATTTTTTATTGCTTGTGATGTTTTTTTTTTTTTCTTCCAGATCTAAGTTATTGTATAGTTTTGTGCATCACTTGTAGGCACACTCTCCATACAGAAGAGACAGAAGCTCAGTAATGCACAAAAAATACCCCTGTATTTGTGTCTAGGGAGCAGACTTGTAGGCATATTTATAAACTTTGATGGAAATCTTTTCACTATCAATTTCTATTCCAAGACTTTCATAACATTTGATGAATTTGGCAGCAGTGGGAATGCAAAGACATTTAAAAAAAAAATCCCAGAGAGGAGAGGATGAGAACACTTTCACTGTCATCATTGTTATAGTAGTAGTATGTCTCTAGTAAGTGACTTTCAAATAAGTCTCAGTTCCTGTCTGAAGTTTTTATATGCCATGATAGCATTTAAAGGAAGATGTTACTAATACAGTGTTGTTTCCTTTCTTAATTTTTCCAGAACTCATAAATTCAGAATGACTATAAATATATATAAAAATACACTTTTTTCTTACACTACTACCCTGCTGCTGTCTCAGCATTATGAAATCTTTGAAATTTTGTTTCAGTAATAATGCTTTGAACTGTTTCTCTTGTTGTCTAGTTGATGGCTTTCATCTGGATTTGACTGGATATTCAGTGTATGTATGTGTGACTACTTCTGTGTCATGGGAAATTAATTAAGGTAACATTATGCAGCATTAGGTGAGAACACACATTAGTTATCCTGTGCTGTTTTGAGATAACATGCTGAAGGGACATAAAGGAGAACCTGTTGCCCTTGGCAATGTGGATGAGAGCGTGTAAAACTTTCTCATCTGAGCCTTTCCTAGCCTCTGGGACCTTACTACTGTGACAAACGGACAAAGTCCTCTCCTCTCTGGAAATTATTCAGAAATTCTCTGTCATTTCCCCTGCTGCCAAATTATTCAAATATGAGGTGATGCCTTGGAGCATAGAGCTTTTGTCTTCTTCCATCAGAAATACCTGTATAGTCACTTCTTAGCAGAGAGCATGATTGGAGAAGGAAGAAAAAAAAGTCAGACTCCCACCCACAGCATAAGAGCTGTTCTTTGTCATTGGCTCCTTTAATTCTTTGTCTCATTTTAACTCATTTTCTGACCTAGAATAGAATATTTGTACTTGATTTTTTTCAAGATCTAGTTTGTGTATGTAGACTTACACAATGAGTTTACAGATTTCTTTTTTTTTAGGTACGTTTTTGATCATTTATTTGTTAAATTGCTACTTGTAATCAAGACAATTGGGTGGCACATACATGTTTATATGTGGATATATTTTCCTACCTGTATTGCTTGAAATGAACTCTTCTAGTGGTCTGATGTTACAGATGAGATGAGAAGTTATCTCACTTTGACAGTATGAACTGTCAAAACAGAGCACGAGTTAGACTTTATTTTTTCCAATACTTTTCATTGTTGTCAAATATAAATATAAAAAGTGACTATATCATGTCTTTTAAAAATATTTTAGGAGTTGTATTAAAGTACATCAATTTATCCAAGAATAGTGTGTCATAAACCCAGTCTTTTTTAGATGCTTTTAATACATGTTGTTCTATCAAATCTCTGTCCTTAGCGATGTATCCCTAGTGACATAAAGAATGTATGAAGTGGAAACCTTGAAATAATTAGTCCTTAATAGTCCAGCTTAATATCTAATAGGTATGCGACTGACTGCATACTGATAAATGGTAGCACAGATCTCTGTGGCTTGATTAAGTACAAAAATCTGTTTTATAAAGCTCACCGGATATATACTTATGAACAAATATATCTGTCAAATGTCCAAATGTCAGACAACAATGGAAGATATTTCTAGGGAGAAGTTTTTAGCAGTGGTTAATTAAAAACTGGAAAAATACGGAAGTTGTTCTTAGCGAGTTGTGTGTGAGATAGGCTAAAAGTGGCATAGAAATTGATATGCAGTAGAAGTCACAAAGGCTGAGGAATGCCTTAAGATCAAATAATTGGAATTTTGCTGAAGCCCTTTTTAAGGGAGCTGGTGCAGGTTCTGTGTGCTTCTAGAACAGCTGAGTGTGTTCCGTGGTATTGTTTTCAAAATAATTAGGACACTTTGCCTGATGTCACTGAAATGTACTGCAATTCATGATAGGGTAGCTGTCTGTTAGTAATCCAATCAGTTTTAGGGAAAGGGTATAAGGAAAGGAAGAATAATATTATAGTCTGTTACATAGTTTGAGAACCGATGAGCTGAAGTGATTTGTTTTTGAATTAAATGTTTACGTATATGTATCTATTTATCTCTGTGCATTAAATCACCCCCTTCTGATCTTATTGCCACAATTGTATACCAGTCCATAATTCTAAGTCTATGAACAAGAAAAATAGTACCAAAAACCCCAACTTTACCATATCTCTTCCACTCCATTTTAAAAAAGTGTCTTTCAAATAAATTTCCTTTTGCTTCTTAAACTTCAGGCTACTACTAGTATAGCTACTTGCAGTCACTCTTCTTGCCTTATTATCCTTCAATTTCTACCATAGAAAACATACTTCATTTGATGAGTTAATCCTGAGTAAAGTTTCTTAGAATTTATGGCATCCTTCTTTGCAAATAATGTTGCTCTTTGTATCTTTACTCACTGAATTGCCGCTTTTACTCCCTGCATGTGTTCTCAACTTTGTGAATAGGTTTGACCAGTTTGCCACTACATACAAAACAGATAACTTATGCTCATTTTTTGCCTAGGACTACTTCCTTGCTGAGGGTGACAAATTTTCCAGTGAATCGTATGCTGTAGTATGTTGTGAGAGTTTATTTTTTGTGAAATAAAAGATCAGATCTGTGATTAATTGTAACTACATTTCAAGGCAGAATTTTAAGCAAATGCTCTACCATAGTATAAACACAACAGCCATG